ACTCACTGTTGAGATCAAACTCCGCAATGTCAGCTGACGTCACCGTGGCATGTCCCTGGCGACCCTCTGACGTCTTATCATACCAGATCAGATTGTGGTATTTAAAGAAAAAGATAAAAAAATATTTTAAGTTTGCTCGTGTAAAGGGTATGTTGTGTGTGGTGTGTGATTCACATTAGTGAATAATCCTTGATTGTGTCGTTGACACCTGAGCAGATGGACTATGCTATGACCTCATGTTTGAGGTCATATAACATGTACACTGTAATGTATCACCGACGCACATCGTTGGGTCACCGTGTACGGTTTTTTAAGAGAAGTATTAGCGTTCTCTCGGCACACGGAAAATCACGTTTCGATTCCAAAGATGGGTGGACAAAACCAATGATTAATATTATGAACAACGTCCCAAGCCGCCAGGATACAGTGGCATCGTGACCACCCAATCCACATAGTCACCGCTTACGACACAGCATACGACACCATGGGCTCGCCACCGTCCGTATCTGTATAAACAAGGATAATACATTCATCAAAGTCATTTCACATCATCAGCCATCATTAACATATGATAAACATACATCCAGCCTCTGGTTTCCATTAACACTGTGACCTCCTCCATCGCCTAGCAGATAGAGCTTGTGCCTGGAGAACGGAAAGTTGCTGGATCGGTCCCGACTTTGTCAAACCACAAAAATGGTACTTGTTGTTACCCTGCCTTGTGTGCATGCACATCACTATGTGAGTGCGAAACTCTTGAAGGCATTATTAAATCCCATTTCACCTTACCTCACCTAAAATAATTTCCGTTGGGTTCATATGCGAAATAGAGATGCAAATATCAAAGGTCAAGTAGGGACTACTTTCACTGTTTATGAACAAACATGGCGTCGCCCTCGTCATTCGGCGATCGAGTCAGATTTAACCATCGGGAATCTGGATAAACTACAGAGATAATTGCTTTCATTATCAAAAGAACAGTCTTATATACTAAAAATCAGTGTCTTACTGTGACGTAGCTAAGGCATTTTATACGTTTTGGCAACTTTGGAGATATAAATTTCGACACAATTTTGCGAGGGCACGAGGCCTAGCCAAGCGGAATCAGTAGCCATATCTTTGTAGACCGCTGCGGCTTGGACCTTTCTCAACAAATTAAAATACTTGGATTTGGCCGAAATATGTTTGAATTGTTACCCTGTTTCGTTTTGTCACTGTGTGTACATCTGACTAGACTTCTTAACGTTATGACAGGACAGACCGACTGTCAACAACGTCTGAACGTGGCCGTAACGTCTCATAGACTAGGGTTAGAGTAGCTTCCCTTTGACAAAGGGCAGTTACTCTAGCAGACAGACCGATGGATTGCCGCGAAAGGCAATTAAAAACAATTGTTGTTTTGCGTATATGTTGCTTCGCCACTGTATAAGAAAGAGATTTCAGTTGGAACTATATTGGCTACTGTAACTGTCCGATTGACACATCACTTACCCTGAGACGTAATAAATATTAATGCGCGCATTCCAGGAAAACTCACAATGTTCCGGTAATGTTTGTGAGAGAGGAAAAGCGATTTTCAAGCACAGAATTAAAGAATGACATTATATGATCAAGAGGTTATCACGCTTGTGTGTTTGGGGATGGTAAATATCCTGTTTTAGGAATAAACACTATGTATTTATCTCGCCAAGGCTCGCTAAATACAATGTTTATTCCTAATGCAGGATATTTACCATCCCCAAACACACTCGCGTGATAACCTCTATAAAACTTTCGGCATTCGTGTTTTCTTTCCCATGATTACTTTCTCAACAAAGCCAGAGGGGGATGTATTATCTGACTTATGATCCGAAAGAAAAATCTGAACAACACTTGTCATCAATTTTATGTTTTCACTATATATGAACCATTATAGGAAACGGACGTAAAATATCCCTTGCTGGCGTACATGAACCTGGAAAAGAGGTTCTTTAAAAGAATTGCGGTTTATCAGCCTCTCTGTAGCTTAATGGTTCACTCAATAGGCGACAAGTACGACGTTTGCATGTTAGATCCCACTTAAATAGAAATAAAATCATTCCGCACATTTCCTCAAGTTAGCGCTGCAATGTGTGTTATGTAGATTGTGTTCAAATGCAAATTGTAACATAAAAGTAGGTATGTACTCTGATCTGATTGGTTAAAGAGTGTTGTCGAATGAGCATAACATCACTGAAATTTTTGGGCCTCATCACCGTGTATGTATACATTAATTAATGGAACTATTTTTGAAATCATCAACATGGAGGAACAGATGGAAATTTACCCTGACTTCCACATCGGAGATTTCGATGAAATATTGAGTGATTGGGACGACGAGACATTTTCTGAGATAATATAAGAATTTGAAGGTAAATGAAATTTACCTTTTTTCATTAATTACCCAATCATAATCATAAATGATGTCATTTTCTTGGGCTTGGCCAAAGGGAAAAGAAAAGAAAATCATTTTTTAACAGAGTAAAAAACATCAATTGCAGCTCTATAATAGTTATGACTTTCATACACCCACCTAATTTTGTTATTATTATTACTCACAACAGCTGTTGAAGCTGAAAACCGTTCTGAGATGGCCCCTGAACTAGGAAATACAGCCAGCGTTTCCTTAGAGCCCAAAGTTCAAGCGTCCAGTGACGCTTCGCGTCCCTTCATGCAAATGCAGTACAGGACATCGTGGATGGGAACCTCTCCAAATCTACTTGGCGTAATACCTCCTGGGGAGTTAAAATATTTTGATGTAAGCCATTGAAACATAAAAGAATACATAAACACATACCTAAAATTCCTACACAGATTCGATCAACGAGAGTTACCTCCCTTACACCATTGCCATGAACCCAAGTTCGAAGAGCTTCCTGCATCTCAACTGAATGAGAGACTGAGGTTCTTTTATGCCGAAGTCAGAAATGCTGAGGGAGATCTTTACTCAAAATCGAGTTTTTGTTGGGTTGCGTGCTGCCATACACAGGCATATCAGGGGACCGCAGCATAAACATTATCCAAGACCGGGAATTTCACACTGCAAACAATGTTTTTCTGTTCATGATAAAAAAAACTTAAGCGCGATGGCCTTGACCAGACAACACATCATGCTGCTATCCCCGAGAATGATTTTTTAAAAATCCGTGAAAGTTTGGATACGGAAACTCCTTCCGGCTTGCTTCGTAAACTGTTGTTCGACCTTACACTCGGTTTCGCTCGTCGTGGTAAAGAAAAACAAAGGGAATTAACTGCATCTTCCTTTCGTGTATCCACCGATGAACAGGGGTTTGAGTTCATTGAAATGACACATTCCGAAGTCACTAAAAATCACAGGGGGAACCTCAAAGACTCAAATGGGCCCAACAAACGCATTTATGCAACATCGGACCAATTCTGTCCCGTACTTTCATTAAAAAAATACATGTCTCTCCTCAATCCCAACAATGGTGCTTTTTACCAGGCTCCCAAGAGACGAGTCCACGTCGACGACACCGAATGGTACACCACGAGGCCAGTTGGTGTAAATGTCATTGGCAACATGATGAAAGAAATTCTACCAACGCTGGTCTCAAAGTGCACATACAAACCATTGTCTTCGGGCAACTGCTGTTACTTTGCTGTCAAACGCAGGCATTGAAAATCGCGAGATTTGTAAAATTACCGGCCACAAAACCGATGAATCGTTGAAGTCGTATTCCATTGATGAATGAACCATCATTATTGGAGTACCTCGAAACCATTCATCGGTTTCGCGGCACCCCATATCATGCATCCTTTCGAAGGTGAGCAAGAGGAGACGTATTGCTAACGACAGTTTTGTTGTGTCATGCGCTCAGTAAATTAGTTCCTCCTAAATATCGATTTAATTAACGTTCATGTTACAATGTCGATAAATATTTCGTTTTGTAAGATTTGCGTGATGTTATGCTGAATGGATGTACGGAAGTTTTTCATTTGAACATTCCGCCTTACGGCGTCGTGTTCAAATGAACTTTCCGTACATCTATTACGGCGTCTTGTTCAAATGAAATTTCCGTACATCCATTCAGCATAACATCACGCAAATCTTACAAAACGAAATATTTATCTCCTAAATACATTGTATATTTCCAACGAGGTACATCCTGAAGAAACACCACAAAAGTATCAATGGCAAACCCATGTCCCAGGGTCTTCAGGAGGGAAAACCTACAAAGTGGGTTTGACACGTTTTGAAGAGACTTGACAACCAACAAGAGAATAAACCTGTCGTAGGGTTATAATGCAGGTTAAACCAGACGGGCTTGTAACGTTATAATGGGCAGCAAGATATACATGTATGTGGTCACTACCGGGGTCATAATGCTATATGAAGGATATATAGTTGTATGGCCCCGGTAGTAACCATATATATCATGCTGCTCTTTTTTAAGAATCATACCCCTGGTGACTATGACTTTGTGTTTTAATAATTCCATATTGTTTTGCCCACATTATTGCTAGGATGCCCTTTGTTATTATTATGTAAGCCAGTATTGTGGGTAATGAATTATTCTAAGGGTGGAAACTCTTCTTAACTGCAGTTAGATTGGTGTGTGATCAATTTTAATTGTGCGAGTGGCTTTAATTCCCCACCACCCTTAACGTATGAAAATTAAATGGTCGATCCCTCAAATGAGTGAGTGAGTGATTGGTTTTACGCCGCTTTTAGCAATATTCCAGCAATATCACGGCGGCCTTCAAATGAAATACGAGGTCGAGTAAGGCGGGTAACATCCGTCACGAGCTATATCTTATCCATCAGGGTTGTATTTAGGACTGACTGTGTATTTGGTTCGTTTTTTTTAAGTATGAATCGAAAAACCGATTTGGAAACTGTATGAATCATTAAATGAATGCAAAAACACGTGACCAATTCCGCCAATCAGAATGCAGGAATTTCGATGAACACAACGAAAATTTAATCATTGTTACTTAAATGAATTAAAAGGACAAGAGGTAGTAGAACTGAGTTTATGAATGATGTCTCCAAGAACGTGAAACATCGCCATCACTCTGAGGACCACGTGTACTGAATCCAGATGTCTACCTTTAGGTGCTGAAACACAAGGGTCAGATGGTTGGATCATGCATATGAAAGAGAATATTTGACTTTTCTTGTCAAATATTATTCTTATGTATCAACATGAAAAGACACATGTTTTATTAATTACCTCTGATCTTCATGGTCGTATTCTTAAAACCACAATTCCACTGAAGCAGATTTAAAGTAGTTAAATAAACTTTTTGTCGCTAATATTGCCTTTCGAATTAGGGTCTTCCAGATACTTGTCAAAAATGCTTTATAAATGATTTTATCACATATTTATAGTTTACTGTAATCTCCTTTAAGATTGTTTTCATATCTTCCGATAAATATAGTATTTCATCACGAATAACATAAAATATATGATCTTTTTCTGACCATGGAGATGTGGGGATAGTAAAGTATTTCAGAGGTGGAAGTTTATGCATTACATGTATTTGTCATTATAGTTAAGCTATTGTCATTAACGTCACACTGATTTGTGGCTTCATTTTTGTGTGTTTGGTTCCTTTTAGACAGAGAAATATTTTAATGATTTATAGATGGCGGAGATGATTAGGTGGACGAAGGAGGGTGTGGCCGGACTGATGGATGATGATGATGCGTGAGTGAGTGAGTATGGTTTTACACCGCTTTTAGCAATATTCCAGCAATATCATGGCAGGGGACACCAGAAATGGGCTTCACACATTGTACTCATGTCGGGAATTGAACCCGGGTCTTCGGCATGACGAGTGAACGCTTTAACCACTAGGCTTCCCGATCGCCTCGAATGATGATGATGATGATGATGCATGGATTGGAGGATGGACAGATGAGTGGGTGGGTAGATGGACGGATGAATGGTGGGGAATAGTTGATGATGGATGGATGGGAGGATGGTGGATGGATCGATCGGTTAAAGGATGTGGGAATGGGTGATGGATGGACAGATGGATGGGTAGGTGGGTAGATTGACGGACGGATGGATGTTGGAACGGGTGATGGATTGACAGATGGATGGGTAGGTGGGTAGAAGGACGGATGGGTGGATGTTGGAACGGGTTATGGGTGGACAGATGGATGGGTAGGTGGGTAGATGGACGGATGGATGGATGTTGGAACGGGTGATGGATGGACATATGGATGGGTAGGTGGGTAGAAGGACGGATGGATGGATGTTGGAACGGGTTATGGGTGGACAGATGGATGGGTAGGTGGGTTGATGGACGGATGGATGGATGTTGGAACGGGTGATGGATGGATGGGTAGGTGGGTAGAAGGACGGATGGATGGATGTTGGAACGGGTGATAGATGGACAGATGGATGGGTAGGTGGGTAGAAGGACAGATGGATGGATGTTGGAACGGGTTATGGATGGACAGATGGATGGGTAGGTGGGTAGAAGGACGGATGGATGGATGTTGGAACGGGTGATGGATGGACAGATGGATGGGTAGGTGGGTAGATGGACGGATGGATGGATATGGGAACGGGTGAGGGATGGACAGATACATCATTGATGATCAAGGGAGTTGGTGATCGGTTTGATGGATGGACGATGGAAAGGTGGATGGACAGATGTATGGTTGGTGGGGGATGGATGATGGATAAATGGATGATTGATGGATAGGTAGGTCGACAGAAACGTTATTTGGGATACCCGCACTGGCAACTGCTGTTGATGCAGTGCCAGGAGTGGTCACATTGGCAGTTATGTTGGTTAGCATAGTGTCTGCAGTGATTGGCGGAGGTATGGCATCCCTCTATCAAACGAAAAGTGGATAGTACTTTGAAGCAGGTAATATTCAAAGCAATTACCAATCGGGACATTTAATTACGTGTATACGCGGGCGTGTATATGCTAACAGAAATAGACCCGTGAAGATCCAGGGTAGAACAGGTCTTCAGCAACCCGTGCTCGCCGCAAAATGCGACTATGCTTGTCGTAAGAGGCGACTAATCGGATCGGGTGGTCAGGCTCGCTTACATGGTTGATGCATGTCATCGATCTCAATTGCGTGGATCGATGCTCCATAATGTCAATCACTGGATTGTCTGGTCCAAACTCGATTATTTACAGACCGTCATCATATATCTGGAATATTGCTGAGTGCGGCGTTAAACAAAAAACAAACAAAAAACCAATACCCATAAGTATTCTGAATGCATGTTCCTCACTTACTCTAAGGCGGCCTCACACGGGCAACATTACTTTGCAAACATAAACTCCTTAATGTTTGCCAACTAATGTTTTCACACGATAAATATTCGGGTAAGAATATAGGTTCCCAGCAATCTTAGGTTGTCGTAAGAAGCGACTAAACGCACCAGGTGGTCAGTCTCGAGGATTTGGTTTACTGCATGTCATCGTATCCCAATTGCGGGGATCGATGCTCATGATGTCAGTCACCGGATTGTCTAGACCAGACTTAATTATTTACAGAGCCATAGTCCATATAGTGCGGTATCAAACAAACACACACGCAAACACTTCTCTCAAATGCAGACGCCATTTTGTAGCAGACCTCAATAAAAAAAATGTGAAGTCTCTTTACATAATTGTTTTAAAGAGACGGTAAGGCAGGACCGGGAGTAAATGAGACACAAGTGAGATATTAAACACAAATGAGCTGTTAAACACAAATGAGATGTTAAACACAAATGAGGTGTTAAACACAAATGAGATATTAAACACAAGTGAGATATTAAACACAAATGAGGTGTTAATCACTAGACACATGTGAGACACACAAGTGGGATATTAAACTCAAATGAGCTGTTAAACACAAATGAGCTGTTAAACACAAAAAAACATGTTAAACACAAATGGTATATTAAACACAAGTGAGATATTAAACACAAATGAGGTGTTAAATACAAATGAGATGTTAAACGCAAATGAGATATTAAACACAAGTGGGATCTTAAACACAAAGAGCATGTTAAACACAAAAAATATATTAAACACAAGTGAGATATTAACCACAAATGAGGTGTTAAACACAAATGGGATGTTAAACACAAAGAACATGTTAAACACAAATGAGATGTTAAACACAAATAAGATGTTAATCACAAATGAGATATTAAACACAAAAGAGATGTTAAACACAAAGACGATTTTAATCACTTTACCTGGATGGGTTCCACAGCTGGACACCAGGCACGTGCAGGTTCCCCTCACTCAAGTCAAGGTCGAGAGGGCGTCGCAGCTTTCATGCCTGCAGGTGCTGGTATCATGGCCTTGGCATCCCTCGGCATCAACCAGGGCTACAAAAACATTTATCATACCTCCATGTCAGAATGATGAGATCTGATTGGTTCACGTGATCTTGATAAAATACTATGTATCCCACCTTGGAGGGAAACAATTTCTTTATCGGGGGAATAAATCCCTCATATCCCGCCACGAACAAGACAGGCTGCATGTGGATTTCTGAGAGGAGGAATAAATCCCGTATACCTCGCTATTTCCGAATATGACAGTGTATTTATTGTTTAACAATGATTGTAAATGTGTGACATTGTTTCTGTTGAGATTCCGTAGACGCTCATTGCATTGTGTTTAGACAGTGATCAGTCGTCAGGAAGTAAGATGCCTGTGTGGTGTGTAAACTGCCAATCCGGTATACCCAGGACGGCGATAGTATGTTATGGAAAATACTTTTCATGCAATTTCATCATATCGGGACCAGCTTCCAAGTGAGGATCGCTCATCATCCTAACCCATAATGGAAGCTTGACCACTGTCACTGCTGGCTATATATATTATCACTGACTTGTGCTATCACTACTGTATTTGATACTGACCACTGCCATCATATTATATACTGTCAGTGAGTATTGTACTACCGCCCTATTGTGTTCTGCCAATGTTTTTGCTTCCAGTAATTGTTTTGATTTGTAAACCTAGTTTATGTTATAATACATTTGTTGATTGTATACCGCTTGTTGGTTGTTTGTTCGTTTCACACTCAGTTCCTTTACGTACAGATTTCTGGGTTAACATATTGTTTCAATTTGGGAATCTACACGTAACAGAGTCAATGAAAGTCACCTGGCACAGCAATAGAACAGCTGTTTTCTATCAATTTTGTGTTTGGTTTAATCCTTTCACAATGTCCTATTAAAACAAGTCGATAAGGTAAATTCGTTGTAGCAGTATCACGAGGACGTATGTGGTTTTATGCGTCTCGTGTCAAGTTTTATACCACGAACATGGCTAACGCGGGACGCATAAAACCACTTATCATACCTCCATGTCAGAGTGATGAGGATGTGATTGGTCCACGTGATCTTGATAAAATACTGTGAAACCCGCCTTGCAGGGTAATAACAATAACTTTCTAAGCGGGGAATAAATATCTTATACCCCGCCAAGAGCAAAATAGGCTGCACGTGGATTTCTGAGAGGCAGAATAAATCCCTCGTGATCCTGCTACAACTTGCAATGTGGCTTTATTGTATAGGCGGCTTCACGCGGACAACAGAAGAACACAGATTGCCAACTTGTATTTTCACACTACAAAGGCGTGTTGTTGTTGCATAGCCCCTCTTCACTCCTTTGCAAAGGTTGACGCCATATTACGCAGTATCTGATTGACTGAAAGCAACCAACATACGTTTGACAACCATTCACACGTCAAAATCGAGTTTGAAACACAACATTGTTGGTCGAAATATTGGTTGGATATTCATTGCCAACGGTTTATCAAATTCCCCATACTGTTTTCGCAAACTGAATGTTCCCTGTGTGGTACAAGACAGTACGCCGTTCCCCAACATCATGGTCAATAAGGGTGACTACATGGGCACTGTACTGATACAATAGTATTGCAATGGTTAAAACACTATTGCTATTAATATAATACTGTATAAATATACGTTTATAACGAACACGCTTATAACGAACTGATGGATATAACGAACTTATTTTTTGTCCAAACATTTGCTATATATGCTGTATATGATTATAACGAACTACGGTTATAACGAATAAACTTAGTGGTCCCTTTGAGTTCGTTATAACCGTAGTTTAATCTACTATTGTAATAGTGGTTCAGAAATAGCTTTACTGTTGTAGTGGTACAAACTTTATAATACTGTAACGCGTGTACATATTCCTTCCCATAATTAAGCGGGGTAACGCTGATTGTCTGACAATGTTCTCAATGGACCCTTACATGTCTATACAAACAAGGCGCATTGTCGACACAAAATGATGACGAATGGTAATGTTTCATAATATTTGTATCGATACTATCAATGGCATTTTGTCATCCTTTATAACTAATTAATTTCACTTCTAATCACTAACACTGGTACTTGAGTTATGTTAAGTAAATATAAATAGCTACATAGATAGTCATATAGATAGCTACAAGGAAATATTTAACTTTCACGATTTTTCGGCTGTACTTTGGTAGATAGATAAAACATCAACAATAGAGAATATCTATTCCAAAAAAGATACCATTGCACGTACAAAGCAAATTAGTACTGAAATTTATATGAATGGATAATTGAACACCAGTGATGATACCGGGTGTTCGCAAAAAGGGTAAGCTAGTGCTGCTCTACAAAGCACAATTTCCAGAAAAAAATGTTTGTAAACATTTACTGAAAATTAAGATACAGTTAGTTTATCGTTATTTTAAAGTAAACATGAAGGCCTACCTAAAGTAACCAGACAAAGGGCTGCGATAATAAGACACCTCATGGTTTCAGCTTCAAGCTAGAAGTGAAGTGCTGGAAGTGAAGGTAGGGCAGAGAAACTGGGGCAGTGATATAAATGGGAATGACAGCTATCTGGACAGCTGGTCAAATAGGTATGCAGAGATACACACAGATCTGCCCATTGTGTGTTAATGGTTTGTGAGTTGAAGACACGGTGAACTTTATTTTTAAAAGAGACATATTAAAGAAGTTTTTGAGATGTGTGTTTACCTGATAATTTGCATTGGAGCTCTCGTTTGTAAAATATTACTTAAAAAGGAATGGCATTCCAACCCACATTTTGAGAATCGTTTGGAAACTCGAATGACAAAACATGTAGAAACATACTTTCGAACAAGACAGTCTTTGTTTACCGAGATGAAAGCAATCAAAACCCCTCTCACTGACCTTAGGAATAAGTGTACGTCTCTAGAAAACGCAATATCAGACATGCTGATCATCTTGATAGAGTTAGCTTTCAAAGTGGCTATAAATCATTTTCATATACGAAGGCTGGTCAAAAAGTTCTAAACCTGACAAAGTTTTAACTGTGGGCCTAAAGAAAGTGAACTAGTCAATGTAGTACATTGTTTGAGTTGTTCATTGCAAGTGGATATGGTCTGTTGAGGCCATTTGTATAAAAGTGACAGCCAATTGAACGTGATATAGGTCCAAATGGACACAGAAATGGAAAAGAACGAGCACCAGCAGTCATCAAGGTTTTGATTTAGATAAAAGTACTCTTCAAAATATTCATGACAGCACATAACAAGCGTATGGGGATAAGTGCCCTCGCTATTACACTGTTAAACGTTGGGCAGCTATGTTTAAGTCTGGGAGAAGAAGCCTTGATGATGACCCTAGATCTGGACGTCCCTCAATTTCCATCAATGATGATTCAATCAAGGAGATAGACAAACTTATACTGTCAGATAGATGTATTACCTTTGCTGAACTTTAGGAAGACACAGGTCTAAGCCATGGATCCATTGGACCTATTATTTATGAACATTTACAGATGAATAATATATCTGCTCTTTGGGTGCCAAAGTTTATAAATTCTAAAGAAACTGACATTGCCAGAAAAAATTTAGAGCTAATTGAAAAGGAATTCGTCAAATTCTAAAAGATATAAGTAACGGGTGATGAAACATGGTCTACCACTATGATCCCGAGTCAAAACGTCAATCCATGGAATGGCACTATTCCACTTCTCCGGCACCAAAGAAATTCAAGTCTTCAAGATCAGTTAAGAAAGTTATGGCCACTGTATTCTGCGATGCAAAAGGTGTGATCCTCGTTTGATTACTAGAAAGGTCAAAAGAAGATTACCGGTGTCCACTATGCTGAAATGCGTCATTGCCTGAGGGATTCTATCAAAGAAAAGCGGCGAGAAATGCTGACTGCTGGAGTTCTACTACTTCATGAGAATGCCTCTTCTCACACCTCTCGACATTGAGACAATGCGGGTTCGAAGAGCTTCCTCACCCTCCATACTCGCGAGACCTGGCACCAAGTGACTTCTACATGTTTCCTCAACTGAAACAACACCTTTGTGGAAAGCGCTATGACGACAACGAAGACCTGCCGTGAATGTTTTTTTTTAGGGTGACATCAAAGACTCCTTCCTGACATATGAATTGCCTGATATGAAAAGTGTATGTTATAAAAAAACACTTTCATAATTGTTGGTTTTGTTTGTCACGTTTCAAACTTTTTGACCAGCCCCCGTATATTAAAATCATGTTTAAAATATCTAATGAATTAATTATTTTATAATAATCTTTATAAGTGATCTTTTCGTATTAATCCTGTTTGGATGTTATGTCATTTGTTGACATTTGTGAATCATTTGGTCCAGAATTGTTGCAGTTTATCACACTCAAATCAATATAGATCACAGTAGAAAAGAATAGCTATTGCACCAAGGATCAGCTAGCACCATTGCCTTCCCTTTTTTATTAATAGAGGCAATCTGACGCATGGAGATTCCAGATAAGCACATATGCGTGTCATAAGAGGTGATTAAATGGATCGCGAGGTGAGGCTCGGTGACTTGGCTGATTGCATGTCATCGTTTCCCAATATTCCGTGGATCGATTCTTGTGATTCACCATTGTCTGGTCCACAATCGATTATTTACATCCGATCGTGATATATAATACTGGAATATTGCTGGATGCCCCTTTATACAATAATACCGTCAATTATACATCGTGAATTTATACACCAGTATGGAGTAAAAATATTATTTCTTTCGTTTGAGGGATGAATTAGAAGAAAATTACTTTCTCCTAGTGGCGTGTGGCGTTGATGTAAGTGAGTAATCCGCCCCGCTATGTGGCGTTAAACTGGGGTACTTAAGGGGTGTCAAGATTTAAATTGTTCATTCTCGCTCAAAGTGCAAGCACGGCCATCAGATTGTTTTAGTCATGAATACCGACGCTAAACTTGATGCTATTCTTCAACCATTCGATAATAAAAAAGCACAGTTTGAATTGTCTCTTAATGACCTCAGCGGAGCGTTGAGGGGAGAATTCAGTCAGATCGCTAAAGAATTAATAAACTGCTAGCTGGAAAAGAATATTCGTAAGAAACGCTCACGCCAAGCGCCGTATCTAAGTAGGTCATCGGGGCCATCAGCAACCTTTTCCCGGCCCGTGCAAGGTGCTTTGTTCCTGCCTCCTCTGTGCGACATATTCAACCAATCACAAACCAGCCTTTTCGTGCAAAAGGTCAGAAGACAGGAGCATGCTTCACGTGCGGTGATTTCAGTCACTTCAGAAGAGACTGTCCCCAAAACAACGTGTCAGCCCAGAGAATGTCCAGTTTTGCAGCCGGAAGCTCATCCCAATGGAATCAAGACCTGTCAGTTGAGTATTTCAGTCATGATGGCGTTGTTGATGATTTGCATTTTTCTAAAAAATCTTACAGAGGACTATTATGAGTATGAGGAAGGTATAACCTATTTCGCACCTGCATTGTGCTTTTAATCTTTTATCTACAGAATGGTACAGTGTCACCAGTCATTAAAGCCTTCTATAGCTTACGTCACGCACATTGTAGTGAGGGGCTTGAGAGTCCTACTGAAAATAGTCTTGTGAAAAATGTGTTGGAAGCAGCTTAATGTAAATTGGCTAAGTCTGTTGTTAAAGGTGTGTACGATTCAAGAATTGTAAATGGATCTTTGTCTGATTTGAGAATATTAGCATGTGCTTGTTGGCTTATGCTGGATTCTTAAGATCTTCTGAACTGATTAATATTTCTCGTTCGGATATAATGTTTTATGAATCTCACATGACAGTTTTTATTGAAAAGTCTAAAACAGATGTATATAGAGACGGAGCCTGGCTTGTTATCAGTAGAACTCAATCTAATAAAGGTTGTTTTGATAAACCTTGGCGTTTCGAAAATATTGTAAATAAAAGCGACAGAGGACAATTCCTTAATCAATGGAAATCTCTTTTTAAAGTTTCCAACTAAATCATAAGCATGTGTTTACGAGTGATGATAGTGCAGCCGTTTCGTGTTCAATTATCCATTCAAAAAATGTCACCAATGTTTTGCTTTGTACTTGCCATCGCAACTGTTTCGGAATGGATATTCTCTATTGTTGGTGTTTTATCTATCTACCAAAGTACAGCCGAAAAACCGTGAAAGTTAAATATTTCCTTGAAGCTATCTATATGACTATCTATGTAGCTATTTATATTTACTTAACATTAACTTTCGCAAGTACCAGTGTTAGTGATTAGAAGTGAAATTAAAATAGTTATAATGGATAACGAAATTCCATACAAATATTATGAAACATAACTGTTCGTCGTTATTTTGTGTCCACATGGCGCCTTGTTTAAATAGACATGTGAGGGTCCATTGAGAACATTGTCAGACAATCAGCGTTACCCACTAATTATGAGAAGGAATAGGTACACGTGTTTCAATATTATGAAGTTTGTACCACTACAACAGTAAAGCCATGCATGTGTCTGAACCAATATTACAATAGTAGAGTAAACTACGGTTATAACGAACTAAACTTAGTGGTCCTCTTGAGTTCGTTATAACCGTAGTTCGTTATAATCATATATACAGCATATATATAGCAAATGTTTGGACAAAAAATAAGTTTGTTGTATCCGTCAGTTCGTTATAGGCGTGTTCGTTATAAACGTATAGTTATACAGTATCATATTCAATAGTGTTTTAACCATTGCAATACTATTGTATCAGTACAGTGCCCGTATAGTCACCCCTATTGACCATGATGTTGGGGAACGGCATACTGTCTTGTACCACCCAGGGACCATTCAGTTTGCGAAAACAGTATGGGGAATTCGATAAACCGTTGGCAATGAATATCCAACCAATATTTCGGCCGACAATGTTGTGTTTCAAACTCGATTTTGACATGTGAATGGTTGTCAAACGTATGTTGGTTGCTTTCAGTCAATCAGATACTGCGTAGTATTCATATGGATTTTACGCTACAAAATGGCGTGAACCTTTGAAAGGAATGAAGAGGGACTAATGTAACAAGAACACGCCTTTGTAATGTGAAAATACAAGTTGGCAATCTGTGTTCTTCTGTTGTCCGCGTGAAGCCGCCTATACAATAAAGTCACATTGCAAGTTGTAGCAGGATCACGAGGGATTTATTCTGCCTCTCAGAAATCCACGTGCAGCCTGTTTTGCTCTTGGTGGGGTATAAGATATTTATTCCCCGCTTAGAAAGTTATTACCCCGCAAGGTGGGTTACACAGTATTTTATCAAGATCACGTGGACCAATCACATCCTCATCACTCTGACATGGAGGTATGATAAGTGGTTTTATGCGTCCCGCGTTAGCCATGTTCGTGGTATAAAACTTGACACGAGACGCATAAAACCACATACGTCCTCGTGATACTGCTACAACGAATTTACCTTATCGACTTGTTTTAATAGGACATTGTGAAAGAATGAAACCAAACACAAAATTGATAGAAAACAGCTGTTCGATTGCTGTGCCAGGTGACTTTCATTGACTCTGTTGTAGATTCC